CTTTCGATTCCACTCAGTGCATATGACTTTGCGGTGAATTTCAATGACGTCATCTTTGTCTCAGCGTATCAACGTCCCAGTGTATCAGCGTCTCAGTGTATCAGTGTATCAGCGTTTATAAGACAACGGCGGTGCGTAACCAACAGAAATAAGATAAGCTTTTGGGCTGATTTTCTGACATCATGTTGTTTAAAAAATCATAACTCCATAACGGGACGTCGTATCCACAAAATGTTTCCAGGAAAATGTTCTTAAAAGACCAGTCTACACCACTATATGATTTGAAAAAAATTGAAAATTTTTTTTGACCTCTGAAATCAAGATTGAAAAAGAAAAGCCTATCTTAGTAGTGTATTAAAATAGGCCAATGCATTACAGTGCAGTAGCATAGGACTTTCGTGTTGTTACTGTTCCAAGTAGCGATAATATACATATTTCTATTATTACAAAGTTTTATAAAGAGGTATAGTATAGTAAATCATGTTTTTACCACAGGAAACTCTCATATGGTAACTAAAACAATGCTAGTTCAGAGTATTACTAGTACTACAGCACTGTAATGCATATACCTATTTTAATACACTACTGAGATAGGCTTTTATTTTTCAATCTTGATTTCAGAGGTCAAAAAAATTTTTCAATTTTTTTTCAATCATATTTCATAATCTGTTTCTTTGCTCTATGGTTATAACAGGCATTACAGTACTGTTGAAGACTCATGAAAGTTACATCTTAGCGTGAAGCTAATGAAAGGTGGGATTGTGTTCCTTTGTTTGATTAACTTGATTTGATGATAGTGTAGTGACTAGATTATTATTATTTGTTTCTGTAGTATTATTATTATGTGTTATAGTATGATCATTCTAATTATTATTCTTATGATGTGTTATTATGATCATTATTATTCTTATGATGGGTTATAAATGATTACAGTTTGAATTGCCGTCATATCATATCATATGATTAGATTATGATTTTATTATTTTATTGCCATTATGGATTGTTATATTTTATACATAATGCTGACTATTTATTACGTTGATTATTACAATTATTACGAATTGTTGTTATGTATGCATGTTACTATTTTTGATTGATTATTATGATGTATGATTGATAACTATTGTTATGACGCCAATTATCATTTTAATTGTTATAACTAGTTAACTGTTGGAATTTAGTTAAATGATTCTTGCTTGCATGTTATAATTTGAAGCAAGGCAATAAGCCTACTGAATCAATTATCTATGTTAACTTAAAATATGTTGAATATGCGCACTGGCATATAGTGATGCATTAATATAGGTGTTATTTTGTGGTAAAAGCCAAGGGTTTCCCACTAAGATTTATGCCGTAGTTAATCTTATGCATTTATTATTATGTGAATGTCAGTTGTAATTGTACCTCACAATAACTGTACATTACATGATCGCTCTGATTGTTTACAGGACATTGCAGTATGAATATTGATAAATGTATTTTTCATTTTTACTTTAGTTTCTAGCTTGACGTATGCTGGCATAGTGCCCGGTCAAGTTGGGGGTTTTTCCAGTTATGCTTTGTTTGTCTTATGTTCTCATAATTCCTAGATCCTAGTTCCTATCCGAATAAATATAGCATTGAAATCAACATCATCTCTGGCTATTATTTCTCCTGTGCAAGATGTTACATATATAAGGAAGAGGAATTGATCGCCACAAAAAATGATATAATTACGCCAAGATATTTGTAAGATTCTGTTTCTGTCATATAACCCTCCCCTAATTTTCATTTCTTTTCTTTATCAACACGTTTTCCCGTCAGATTGCTCTGCTCCTCGATTAACCCTCGCCCCAGCATTCCACTGTCTAATTTCTGTCTCTTATACACATCTAGATGTGTATAAGAGACAGTATATATATCATAAATAACTCATGCTAAGATAAATGTTACTGTTTTGATAAAGCAGTTAATACATTTTTATTTATTCATTATTTTTAGTCGTTATTGAAAATTTCAGCTGGAAAAATAGTCTGCTTGATAGAAACTTGTTAAGTAGATGATGCAAGCTGATTGTTTATTTCTATTTATAATTTGAAGCATTTGTTTGTAATCTAATATGGACAGTGTCCAAAATAAAAGCAATTGATTGATTGACTGATTGAAGCTTAAGTATTTAATTCCAAAATAGTACTACGAAAACACTAACCTAAGTACATATATGCAAAAGTCTGTGTGCACTTTATATATACTGTACACAATGAAAACAAAATACCCTGTTCTTATATTTATAAGCAAAATAAGAATAATTGTTTTGAAAAATAGAAAATGAATTCATCTCAACTGACTGAATTTTTAAGTAATATTTTTTTTAAGTAAATGCAAGAAAGAGCATTAAACAAGAAACAAGTAAAAAAAAACAAGAATGAGCAGGCTATTATACACAATTGAAAACAAAAAAGAACTGCAAAAATTAAGTGCAAAATCATACAAAATTTGTTTCAAACTGATAAACTAGGCAATGAGCTTATTACATCCTAACACTGTAACAAAAAAAATATGGCAATATATTGTTGAACTCCTTTATCATCACCCTGTTAACCTTTTCTCTTCTCCTTCCCACCCCTTCCAGTGACCAGTGGCGGGTCGACATAAATTGTGTACTTTCATTTTTTTATGTCAGCCCCACCTATTTTCTTCTATAGCAGTGGATTCGAAGTAGCAGGGCCCAGGGAAGAACTTCCACAGATGGGGGGTAAATGCCACCTTAGCCCTACTATGGTTGGGGCTGGGGTAAGAAATTTTATTAATATGGCACCTAGATGGTCGGAAATAGTACTCTCAGATTTAAAATTTGAATATAATTTCGTTTTCTTCATTTTATTTGAAATTAAAAAAAAAAAAAAAAATTGCACTCCAGGTTCTTCTACCCAGCAACTAGAAAATTTCCTAACACAAAAATATCCACTCACCAGTGGCCGGGTTCAGGTGAGCAAATTTTTAACAGTGTTTTCAACAGAATAACAAGCCCCGAGCCTGCTGGTGCCACAAATGGTTAGTCGTCGCGTTATATCAGCAACCCAGTTAATCCACTATCCCCATTTGTCTCCCCTTCCCATGTCAATACCCTACGCCACTGGATAGCACAGTGAGCTACTGTAGCCACGCTCTTTCTTGTAAACAACGCTAAAGTAGAGTGGTGCCTAGCCCTAGGTTGTGTTTCTATAAACTGAAATTTTTTTCTAAAAATCAGCCGGAAATTTATTGATTTTTAGCAATGATGCGCGGGCCAGATCAAAATATTTGGCAGGATTTGGTGTAATCCTTATTACATTTCACATCCAACAACCAGTACACAGATAACAGTGGTAATTAGACTTATGTGTATGCGTCAAGTTCCTTTTGTTGCCTTTGAAATTACTTTGAACTAATTTTCCATCGCAAAGTGATGAAAAGTAAAAATACAATTACCATTTGGAATGTTAATGTTGATATTGCTAAATTTATTAAAAATTTAAATAAAAAAGAACAAGATAACCTGAGATTACAAGCCCTCACTTTTTTGCTCCACATCTACGCACTAAAAAATAATTGCCTGCAATTGATCCACTCAAGCCTAGCTGGTAAATATGTAACATTCTAAAATCTGCAAATCTGTGGACCGAGATACATGTAACACTGTCAAGTTGAGTAAAATTAAAGTAAATTGGTCTAGTAATTTTTGAGTTATGCGCCTGGCAGGAAGGACATACAGACACATACCTGCACATAGACACGCACTATTGCATATTAAGTGAATTATTGTTTCTGCTACCATTATACTCTATGTATAATTATTTCACTTTCTGGAACAACTTTCTTTACTGTTCTTGTTACCCTGAATACAAAATTAAGTGGCAAAACTATAAAATTGCACAAATATCCCAAGTAATATGAAAGGCTAAAAATAAAACCGTTAAAAGGTAACTTTTGTCTGATATTAAACACAACAAGGCAAAGTCTAAATAAAATTGCTTTAAGTACTGAATAGTATATAAAAAGAACCTCTATTGGCTAATAACATTACTGAAATTAATTAACTGCCAATCAGAATCAAGTTTAAAATGCAGTCTTTCATTATCAATAATTAAAAAGTAAAATATAAATTCATCTAATTTTTACCTGTAAAGCAGGCACCCGCTCGTTGTACGACCGTCATGGTGTTCTCAATAAAAACAACCATTGGGCACAGCGAGTGCCCGGCTTTTGAACTACTTTGAACTAATGTTAGTGTAACCTTTCAACTATTCAACATACTTATTATGGGATGGTCCCGCGAAATAGTCTCGTGGGCCGACCGATAGGATAAACTAGAGAGAGAGAGGAGACTCGGAGGACTGGCGTGGCCAGCAAGCTGCGTCTTGTAGTCACGCATTTGACCAATAAAACCCTTTTATAATCAGTTTTACATGGTGTCTGGATTCTCATTGTATTTCTCGAACACTATAGGTCACATTAATATCTTAAAACACCCCTATATGTTTTTTGCATTGTCCTGCATTTTATTTAGACCTGACACATATATGACGTTATGGTTGACATTGTGTCTTCCAGCAGTCAGTGTACGACGGTAGGGCGACAAATCCATCTCCTCTCTTTGTGAGTGCTTGAAGAACAAATACCATCAAATTGACTTTGATGACCCACTGAGCTGTTTCCTATTAAAGACAATTTGATGCTCCATTCAAGCACATCGGGTGATGATCATCAGCGCAGTGCCCCACGGTTACCTTTTTGGTTAAAAAAATTGTGTACTCATCCTCGTTTTCCATTGAAAAAAAAAAGGATGAGGATATTTGGCCTAAAAAATTGTCTTATTCTATTCTCATGATCACACACAAAATCTGTATAAAAATAGCTTTGAACTATCTGAGAACTCAAGGCATGTGTCGAAACCTTAGAACCTGTTTGCGCATTAAATAGTCAGTATATGGGAGTTCTGTACGAATTAAACGAACACAGGCCATATCTTTGAAGGCTTCAGGCTTCAAACGAAAGCTTTCTACCTTTATGCCACCTGGATGCCAAACTTTCTTGTCATTTTCTACTACGGAACCTACACAACGTTCTACAAAGTATCTTTTCCGTTCACGTAATTCTGCGACTTCTTTCGCCATCTTCTCCTTGCCAAAACTTTCAACTTTACGCCAAAATGTCTTGTTAAAATGTTCATAAAGTTTAACATCCCCAGCATTCCACTGTCTAATTTTGTCAGCATTTTCTGGAGAAATCTTTCTCACAGATTCTTTAGCGCGTGCATTAAGAACAACATACACAACATCATCCAGACTCCAGCACATTAATTCCTTCAACAATATCAGTGATTCATCAAAATATTCTGTAATCATAACAAGGTTAAATTGATCACTTAATTCTGTTATCATGGCATCAATTTTTTGCATATTATCTTTTTGATCAATCGATAAACCTAAGTCATACAGCATTGGATTTTTTGCGTGGCTCTTGGCACGGTTTGACGAATAATATAAATCTGGATTATTCAGGAATTTTTCTAAGGGGTCAGCATAATGTGAGAGATGGTAAAGAGCATCGTATTTTGAGTATGTGAACATTGATTCGAACATGGTAGCTGGATCACGAATGATTGTTACAAAGACCGCATCTGCTGGTAAAACCTCTTGCATTCCTTAGAAATGAAGGAAGAAAAACCAAGTCATTATTAGAAAAAATATATTAAAACAACTAATGCAATTGAAATATATTGCAATAAAAATAATTGTAATATATTGCCTATGGTCATTTAAATAACTGGTACAGTATTTCTATCTTCAAGTGGTAATCCAGATCGCCGTTAACACTGTTAAAT